TGAGATGTCTTTAGCACTTCCTCTCCCCATTGGGACTGAAGACCATCAGATGCTGCTCCCTGTGACAGGGAGCCAGTCCCCTTCATCAGAAACATTACTGAGATCTGCTGTGACTGGATATTCAGAACCTCAGTTTATTTTCCTGCAGCAGTTGTACTGACAGAGCAGTGCAGAGCCATCCAGGTAGTTTGGTAGTGAACTTGGAAATGTGTGGTAAGATGAACACAATCAAACAACCAGTCATGCTGTCTGAATTGGACTTGTTCTTTGTTTTTCTCTGTGTAAAGACATCTGTAAGGCATTTCCATTGTGCAGTGCTGAATTGTGCTAATCTGCAATCACATTTCTATTTGTGATTAACACTGATTTCCAGGAGATGATTCCGGCAACACCTGCCTTAAGAATTCTCTGTTACATATGTTAATGTACTTTGGAGTTCTCTTCCCATGTTCCTGCTGATTTGATGTGTCACAATGTCATTTGAGAACAGATATTTTAAGTCATACTTGATAGTGTAGGAAGATTGACCCAGAGGTGTAGGGAAAAATCATAATTTGGATGTATTAATAAGCCTGCACTCCAAGGTGCTAGAATGGTCCATGAAGAAGGCAGGTCAGTGCTCTGCTGAGGTGTTTGCACAGATTTGCTGCTGGCTGCCAGAGGTGCCATCTTCAGGTGGAGCCTGACCAGAGGGAAAGGTTTGAATGTATTTTCCTGACAAGGAAAGTAAAAGAGGGTTAATTTTTGTCTGAAGTGTGGCAAGTGGGAGGGTCCTAATGGCATGAATACTCCTGGGTCTTCTTTCCAACAAATTGCCTTTGTTTGTTTGTTTGTTTGTTTGTTTGTTTGAAGTGAATCCAGCATTGTTGTATTTTGTCCCAGATTTATTTTTCACGTCCCTAAAACACCCTGGGTTTGGCACACATAGCAACAAAAGGAGAGCTGGGACATGCATGTTGTAGATGAGGCGAAAAGATGCAGTGAGTTAATTAGTGAGGCATGAATCAGAGCTTCATAATCCTTTTTTTTGCTGTAGTGCTGCTTCTTGTGCTAGGTAGGAGGTACAAAAGAGGAAATAAATCCCACCCTTCACTGTGAAAATAATGAGTGAACACTACATGAGGAGGCATTAAAGAATAATACAACAGAGCAGATTGATATTCTTCCAGGCAAGGCTTTTGTGGACTTTGACTGATTAGTTTTAATTAAAGTTTTTTGTATTGCTTTACCTCTCCTGTCACTTGTCCACAGTAACTGCACAAAACTGGTACCTAGCAAGGCCCAGGTAAAGCCAGGCTTTATTACTAGCAACAGACATATTTAAAAAGCAACATTTTAATGTCTTAAAAGGTAAAGTCATAAAAGACTAGAAGACAATAGAATTACTTTTCTACTCCATTTTGCCAGTTTGTGCCATTAACAATTGTAAGCGTTCTTTATGTAATCATCAAACAGTAATGAAACAGTCATGATACTGTACCAACAATTCATTTAAGGCTATCCTTTGTTGGTTATTTACTTGGTGCTAGCATTTATTTCCACCGATGCCTTGTGTCCAGACTCTGATAAATAGAAGAGCATAGAAGATACCTCTTAACTGATTCTGTTCTATGTGGAGTAATAATTAATCTGCACCTTAATTAAACAGACTTGTGAAAAATTTCTTGAAGGATTTCATTTAAAGAGTCTGAAAATGGTCCCTTGACTCCTGAGTGTGACTATAATTTTTTTTTCTCTTCCTACATGTTTGTATTTGTAAAGTAATAGGCCTTTTGCTGCTTTGTGTTGATTATTTTAGTATGGGGCATGTTTATAACCTGCTGCTTGGTCACATTTTGTGCTTTAATATATGGTAGATTTGCTGATGAAGCCTACCATGGCCAGCAGTAGTACAGCCATGTTCTACAGGAACATCCCTAATGCAGGAATCTCACAATGTCCTCAGTGGAGCTAATTATTGCAGGGCCTTTAATTTCTCTGCTTGTCTGTCACACAGCGCTTATGAACAGCTGATGTTCATAATGCTGGCAAAAGACAAAGGATAAAGTTCTCTGGTATTTTAGTTTTGGCATTTCCCTTTGTCTCCCCTCTTGTCTCTTTCAGCTTCTGTTGCTGGTGTAGCCCCTGAGGGATTTCTGAGCCTTGCAATTTAAGACTGAAGAACCACAAAACCGGGATCTTGACTGTGTGTAGCTTGTACTAAGCTTCTTCTTTGCTGTCTCTCTCTGAAAGCAGAAATCTTGGGATAGGCATAGGTTTAGTCATGAATACTGAGAAAGAAAACACCATACAACTGATAACTTGCATATTTAAACAGCTTTGGAAGACAAACTAATGATATGCTGCTGATACCTGAGGAGAAGCAGCTCAGGATAAATGTATCCAGGATAAATGACTGGGAGAGAGAATAGCTCTGGAAAGAAATCTAAACAATAACTACATTCCTACATAGAAAATGCATTCCATAACAGTATTTGTTTGGACTGGTTTTATATTTCTAAAATTATAGCTTATTACTGTATTCTTAGATTTCAGACTTTTTTAAAAAATACAGTGCTTAGATTTATACAGGATTTGTTTAGATACTTATAACAGTAACAGTTGCTTTATTAGTCATTTAGTTTTCTTTATAGACAAGAAAATATTCATTATTTTTTACAAGACAACAATTTTAACCTTTCTTAATAGAATACACAGGCTTGTAGTTTTGTCTTGGAGCAATAATTTAGTGACCTGCACTCTTGAGTCCCCATCTGAGAATCTTGATTTTTATCCCCATCTTTCGTGAAGATATCTCAGCTGCTGAGGTATGATCTCTACCAACTGTATTCATTTACTAGAATATAGATTTTAAATAAATAAATATCTATAAATATATATATATTTGTAGGTATGTTCAGGCTGTAGGTCTGGACTGTACCTTTTGCCAATAGATGCATGGAAATCTGCTGCACATGTAAGTTCTAGGCTTAAGGGTTCTGGGTTCATTTTGAAGTACAAGGCTTATAACAGTATTGGTACTTTCTGTAAGGGATTAATATGAGAGAGCATGGAATCTTTTTAGGCATGTGTCCTTGCAAAAGAAAAGAAGGAATTTCAATAATTCTATTAAGAGTAATACAAAGAATATGACATGTTTTGTCACACTGCTGTTTCAGTCAATTTTGCACTGAAGTTGGTGCAAGTTTTGCCTGAATAGCTTATCTGCATCTCTAAATCTCTGAATTGACTGTTTGGAAGTACTTAGGTGAGAATAGCTCCTTGTATATTACCTGTTTACTTCTAAATAAGTGCCTCTGAGTGGGCACAAAGCACGTGACAACCTTTCTGAAATCATGTGCTACAAAACAATTTTCAAGTACAGACAAGTCCCAAATGAAGGATTTCAGGGCTGTGATCCGGGAGAGGCTCAATAAGCCTTGCAGAACTAAGTTCAGATAAGGACTAATTACTGATTTTTTTGGTTAAATTATTTTTAAAGTATCTGCCATGTATATAGAATTTTTCCTCTGTTATTTGTATATACCTCAACTCTCAATTTTATAATCCCCTGGGAAGGGAGGGAGTTGTATATATTTAGCCTGAAGTGTTTTATGTTAGACTTTAATAAACTTGTTTTATAATTTTCCCTCACCTTGTGTCTCCTGTTTATAACTGCAAGGGGTAGCAACAAAAGCAGGAGGGAACCAGTCAGACACAACCCCTGTCCCCACTCTGGCATGAGGACCATGGGGGCCCCTGGAGCACACAGTAGGATTTGGGGACCTCTGCTGCACCTCTGCCCTGCTGGATCACTTGCCTTCATTTGCCTCCCCTCTAAAACTGGGGGGGAAAATGCTGCTTTTCAGTGAGGTCTAAAAGCTGAAAAAATGGTCTTCAGTGCAGGATTATGCTTGCTTTAGCTTCTGAATAATTCAGAAGAACATAGCAAAAAAAATCTAGCCTATGTAAATTCTCTCATTCCAAAGAACACAAGATACATCTACTAAGAATTTCAAGGTCAGAGGAAGGAAGAAATAAAAGTCTCTGGCACAGGCCTCTTTAAGCAATGCAGGGTTTTGCACAAATAATTGTTTCAGTTTGCAGGAAGCTGTTTATATGGAATTTGGTAGGAATTACTCTGCACCCCTTTCTTACAAAGGAATATCAAAGAAAATTGTAACACATGAGCTGTTTTTATGGGTGTTGTCAGTAACGAAGAGGGCTTTATGGGCTGAACAAGTTACTGTTAAACAAGGGTTCAGATAGAGTGCAAATACTTCAAACCATACATCAGCACTTTTAGATGCTATTTTACCTGATATATTTTGGCTGTGATATTGTTGCCATCTTATCACATCACTAAAACCAAAATACTGCTGTCGGTAGAGTTGGGTACATGTAACCACCTCAGATTAACAAATGTAATTCGTACAAGTAAATTAAGATTTAATTTGAGCAGTGAAATTAGACTGAACTTCATGTACCTGATAAGGGAAAGAAAGATACATGGGAAAAATACCTGTCTGAGTCTTGTAGTGGTGTTCCAAGCAAGAAACTCTGTCACCAGTGTGTCAGTACTGACACTATCAGAGTGTCACCTGCAATGATTCAGAGCAGCAGCACTCGGAAAAGTACCAACACAGGCTTATCTAATTATTTCAAAATTTAGGAATGCTCACAGTGTGCAGATTCTTCTCAAACCACCATGTTTATGTATCCCCGACTTTAGTTCTCATTGTTGCATCCTTCCTGTTGAACAAGAGTTAAAATACAAGCTCCTCTCTAGAGCTGGGTGTTCACAGGGTATGGACTTTGTGCTCAGCAAGGTGACTGCAGGCTGGGAGGGCCCTGTGCAGGTGTGCAGAACAAACATACCTGCTCTGGGCTTAGCTCTAAGTCCTCTGAGGATACCAGGGGCTCTTGGAGCAAGAGCCTGAGTGTGTTGTGTTTGGGGGTGGGGGCAATGAAAAAAACAACAAACCAACCAAACAACAACAAACCCCCACCTACACCAGCTCTCGCAACTGTCCTGTCATTTCACCTGGGGAAGAGGTGTCCAAATGTTTTCCTGTTCCTACACAGTGATAATATGGACTCAGAATAGCAGCAGTTACACTACTGCTTCCCAGCTCTTTTTACTGAAATTACTTTCTTACATTTTTCCCCTCATGCTTTGGTCTTGTCCAAACAGTCACAGCTCATTCTGGTACTTTATGCTAATATTTAACAGGCACATTTAGAGAGGCAGAGGATTGCATTAATGAAAGGCTTGGAGCAAACCTCTGCTGTCCTGTTTGGTGACTTTTTCTGTTTAGGAGCATAAATTAACTCCTGCAGGAATGAGCAGAACGAATGGAAAAAAGAAACCAGCAGATTCCACACTTCACAAAGTCTGTCCAAACCATTAAACAATGTTTAACTACCATTACATGCATATGTTGTCTTACTAATGTGTAGGAATTGCCACAGGGCTAGAATGATATAAACGTTTTTGGGCAGTTTTCATGAGATGAGAAGAAATGATGGCACCACATTTGGTGGTGGTTTCTATTTGTAGTATAAGAAACAAGTATGTGCTACAATTTAATCAAAATTCCATGTATATCCCAGAAAACTGCATTCACCAGCTTTAAATTCTAGCATGGCTGTGGCTTAATGCTTAAGTTCACTTAGCTTGGTTTAAAAAAAAGTCACTATTGGAAGATCAAAAGGATGCAATTGCTAAGGAAAATGAAAGAGTACATGGAGAACAGTGCTAACAAATGGATTTACCCAAAGCTCTCAACTTCAGCAGGAATCTGACTCTGCAGAATACCTGATCTGCTGCCCAGCAGCGGTCCTGGGTGTTGCTTTTGTCGGTGTGCTCTGCCTGGCTATAAACTTTTTCATAGTTACAGACTTTTAATAGACAGAACATTATCTAGCAACAAATTTTGAGTTCATTCGTTTGATATTTTCTCTCTGTTGCCATTTCAAGCAGGTGTAGATTCCTCCTAGACTGAAACCACAAAGAAATGACATGCAGCAGGTGTGGTACTGATAGAACCTATTTTACTAGAAACCAGTAAGAAACTCAGTGAGAAAGCTTTTTCTAGGAAGCTCAGGCACAGGGAGTGCTGCCTCACTCACAAATACTCGGAGACAGTGACGATTTCCAGGCTGGCGTTGGCGGCTCCGGGGGCCACGGCGGCGCAGCGCGGAGCCCAGTAGCGGTGCCTGGCCAGCCCGTGGGACAGCTGTGCCAGGAACACCTCCCCATCCACCTCGTAGGGAACCACATCAGTGCAGCCCAGCTGCAGGCGGCCCATCCCGATCAGCTCCGAGAATGCCTGGGACGAAGAACACCTGGAATTTGACACGTGGTTCTCCCTTTGGACTGCGGGGAAGGCTGTGAGACAGCACGTGGCACTCGGTCCCTTCAGTGTGCTGATCTCCAGGGAGTGTCATTCCAGCACCACCATATTATAATCACATTAAAAAACCCGAATAAATCAAGTGTCTTGTTCACTAATTGCTGTAGTCTTCAACAATGGAAGGACAAATAAGAACAAACAAACCCCAGCCTTCTCAGGTGAGTTCAGAACCAAACACTTACCATGCAGGTGCTTCTATCAAGTTTGTTCCCCCAGATGTAAATATGGGAAAGTTTCACGTTGGATTGGATTGCTTGTGCAAGAGCTACAAGTCCTTTGCCAGTTATATTGTTGCTTACAATGGACAACCTAGAGAACAGAGAAAATGTGTGCCAAACCATAGAATTCCCATCTTTTAGTTAAAAATAAGAGTTTAATGATGATTCAGTCTTATTATTACATATATAATACATATATAGAATTCTTTATTTATAATACAATTATTTGTTTGTATCAAAGCCAGTCCTACTCTAATACCCTTTTCAGGTTGCCAAAGGCAGTTGGCCTCTGGATTTATTCTATTTCTCAAAGCCCTTTCCTGACTCTTGCAGCCAGGTTGTTCACTACTGAGTTCTTCAGTGTCTGTGACTTTGCTGCATGGTGGCCAGGTCTCATCTCTAGTCTGCTTTGAAGCCCAAGCCTTGGCATTTATCCAGGCTAAGCTTTGATCTTTGTGGAGTGGCAGTTATTTTTATATTAGTGAACCTGCAAGGCTTTCAGAGGCACTTCGCAGCCACCACCTCCTCAGTCTGCTACTTAAAACTAATGGCTTCAGGTAACACCTTTGATCAGCTTTTACATCCTGCCGGCAGGGGTTTAACACGGCTGCAAAAGACACCCTGATGGAGAGATTACAGCTCTTCTGGGTTCACCCGGAAGCGAACTTAAACAGAGGATTTTCTTAAGTGTTGAAGATCAGAACCAACAAATATAGTGCCTTATCCCAGCGCGGAATCTGATTATCTCAAAATTCTGAAGACCTACAGCTCTTGTTTTCATTTGTGCACCACAGGGACCTGCACTTCAAAGATGCAGAGAGAATGAAAGGATCAATTGCCTCACCCCTCACCTTCTTAGAGTGACTGTGAAAGCTGTGAGAGCTCTGAGCAGACCTGGGGCTCACCTCCAGCACCCCAGGGTGTCTCTCAGGTCTTGGAGCATCTCACACGGCAGCAGACACGGATGCTTATTAAAGAAATCCCACCCAATCTCTCATAGTTTTTTTTCCCCCAAGAAGGAAAAGTTGTCTAAAACATTTGAAACTTCCCGATTTTCCTATTTTGATCAACGTGAAGACACAGAGCTGTGATGCCATTTCAGCCACTGCAAAGTCCAAGTTTCTTACCTGCAGTCTCTGGGGAAGCTGTGCAAATACTTACACCTGCAAACTCCTGTTCCACGTTGACAAGGCCTCACTCAGGTAAAACGCTCCAACATCTTCTATTCGGTTGGCATTAAGATCCAGGATCTCCAGGGTTTGGTTCCTTTTTAGTAGCTCTCCCAAAAATTTCACACCATCACAGATTATGTTATTACTGAAAAAGAGATGCACAGTTTAAATTTTTTTTAAAGTTGTTAAGAGAATGAGTTTCTAATGTGCCTCATTTAATCACTCTCACCAGCTAAGGTCAAGGTATCTCAGGCTGGAGTTTTTATACAGGGCCTCACACAGTCGCTCTACACCAAAGCTTTTCATTTCATGCTTGCCCAAGTGTAGTTCCACGAGAGAAGAATTACTCCTCAACATCCGAGCTATATGAACTGTGGTCTCTTCCTAGAAACATACACTCAATTTTATTAAGCTGGACTTTAGGATAAGATACAGTTGTGCCTCAGTAATAGGGAGATATACAATCAACTGCAAGACCTTGTCATCAATAGTAGTGTTCTATTTTGTATATTGTATAAAAATAACCACAAAACAACTTCTTATGGTAAAGCTAAAAATGAAAAAATGAAAAAAAAGAAAAATACTATAGAGATATTTGCAGTTTTACAGTACTGTCTACATCCCTGCAAATATCAGTGAAGCATAGACATTTAGATTATGTCTAACCAGTTTTCCTCCCTGCTATTGCTCTTAAAAAATTGAATGTTTGAGTCAGTCTTTGCTAACATTTGGAAGTATTTTGTAATGATGCTAATTATTTCATACGAGAATTAATTAGCCAAAGCTTTTACTTGATCTTGGAGATCCTTTCCAACCTTAAAGGTTCTGTAAATTGTATGCAAAAGAAACAGGACTTCTATGGGAAAAATTATGTTCTGCCACTCAAAGGCAAAGGAAGTTTGTTCAACGATGCCCTATTTAGTTAAGAAAATAACTGAGTGAATACTGTGAGTCAAAAATAATGGAAAAACCCAGAAACCTCAGAAAATGGTACAGCTGAAGGTGGAAACAATGACAAATAGAGCCTGTGACAGGTCCAGACCAGGTCCTTACTGTTATCAATAGCAGTAGTTTAAATTGACTTCCAAAGCTGGGGTTAGGCAGATCCAGCCCAGCCTTGAAAAAGAAACAACAAAAATCTGTTCAAACTGTTACATTTACCTTTGAGAAGCGAGGAGGATGTGGCTTTCATGACAGTTTAATTCTGTTATCCTTCCATCAGGAAAACACTGATCCTGTCCCAGACACCTGAGAACTGCTGCCAGGCAGGTGACTCCACCTCTACCCAGCTCTGCAGCCAAGACCTGAGCAGCACCAGCCATGCACAGTGAGACAGCAAAACCACTCAGCCCAGCGAATATGGGAATTGCTGCAGTGTCTTTCTACTTTAGGCTCAGATAAACAGCATCCTTCGTGCTCCCCCTCGTTTGCTGCTACCCAGCATGGCTCCCTCAGTTTGCTGAACAGTGCAGGAAACTCCATGTTCTAACAGCAGAAGGAATACTTCTGTCTCCAATACCAACCCCTCTCCATTAGCCCATTATTTAACAAATGTACCAACAAATAAATTTTTAAAAATTGAACCTTCTAGTCAAACAGGGGCAGTCAGTGACTGCACAAAACTTGGCACAGAAAGAGAAAAATAATATTCCTGCAACCATTTTCTTCAGTTTGTAAAGAATTCCAGAGATCTGTGCAGTTCAGATGTCCATAAATACATCAGTATTGACTTGACTTATGCCCCTCTCTCTGAGCTGATTCCACAGTCACTCACACACCTGTTGGCTGGAGAGCAGAGGGCGATTTAGGTTTATGGCTTTGAGTGATTTGTTCTCAGTCAGGGCTATGGCTGTTGCTACCAGACATTGCAAGCCCTGGAAATGAAAATGGAAAAGAAACTCTTTAGAGAAACCTGTTCAATGTATAGATCAAGCTAGCAAATTACCATTACTATTATTTCTGCCTTCATCTACTCTGAAGGGATGGGACTACAGCAGGCAGGCAACTGCTTACAGACAAATAACAGATCTTCTGATAATACCACTGCCAACTGCCTATGGAATAGCAGAGTGAAATTAGACTAAGTAGTACAAATGACTTGGCAACTCAAAAAATAAAAAGCAAGAATAACTGATCTCAAAAATACTTGTCCATTCAATTGATCCTGTATTTTGATTTCCCTGATTTATGAGGCAAAATCAGCTTATGTGTGTTCCCCTAACATTTATCCACCAGGTAAATTAATATTTAGTATGAATTGGTCAAATTTAGATTTTCTTTTTTTAATATCCTTCTAATTTGTCCTCTTTTTTATATTTACGTTGCTTTTCAAGTAGGCTGGTCTGTACCCAAAGCCATCTCATTTTAAATCAACTCTATCAAATCACTACCAAGCACACACATACCAAGCTTTTGAATAAATCCTACACTGCCTACACTTTCCTTGTTCATGTATTCATAACACCTTCACACTTTCTGAGGGGTATTCCCCCTTCTGGCTCAGAAGCAAATCCTAAATTTCCAGGAGACAAATGTAGGCTTTTAAAAGCAATCACCGGTCCACAACCCCCTGAGTCTCCCTGTGCACTGTGGAAGAAGTCTCAGTGCCCAGCTCTAGGAGGAACCACATTGTCCAAGAGTAAATTGAGTGCTTTTCTACTCCATTCAGCACTGCTCTGCTTATGTCCTTTATGGGTCAAGCTCTGAGAGGAGCAGCAGAGCTATGGGATGAGCGACTTTCAGGGGTTACAGCACTGCACACTTTAGAAGGAAAAGATTCTCCAGGGAATGAGAAGTCATTTCTTCAACATGAATTATACGGGACTTAGCTTAACAGAAAGGAACAGCAGAAACAAACGTCAGAAAATGTGCAAGCCAAGCACTTGAATTCCTAGAGAGACACAGTGGCTCTAAAATATCCCCAGTTCTGACTTCACAGGTGCTTCATGCAATGTGCCTTTCCAAGCACACATTGCAATATTATATATTGTGTTACCTCTGGCTGTCACAAAATCAATGACAACAGATGGCATTTCCCCTTAATTAAGCACTGCAGGACCCTTGTAATACCCTTGAAAGACTTATGTCTTATTGCTGATAATTTTACTCACCACATCACAGTCTCCAAGATCCAACTTCTCTAAGGTTGAGTTAATTTTTAGCATTGAAGCAAAGAACATCCCACCTTGGTTTCCCATTTTGTTTCCAGTCATTCTCAGGTGTACAAGACTTTGATTGCTCTGGACAAAATTTAAAAAAAATAAAAATCTATTCCTTTAAGATGACCTGGAAAACAACACTGTCCTGTTTTTTCATGTGAATTCTGCTGGTCGTCACACAGAGACAAAACAACCTTTCAGAAGAATTGTGTCTAAGTGATAACACTGGCTCAGCTCTTGGCTCAGACTCCCCTCAGTGGCACCAAACATGAGTCTGCAAGAAAAAATCCTCTATTTGAAAACTTTTGTTTGTCCCAAGTTCATGAATTTCATCACACTCATGAAAATAATCCAGGCAAATATTTCTGCCTAAATTGGCATTTGAGATGCAAATTGCATTAATACTGATTTAAATCTGGTAAGCCTTGTATGAGCCCAGCACTGTATATCTACTGCAGAGCCTCAGTGTTTTGGAGGCCTGTCAAATTTAGTTAAAATCAGTTCAGGGTTCAAAGACTGTGAAGGAGGAAGAAAGAGCTCATGTGAGCCTCCTTTTACAAGCACAACAAATCTTACACACAAGCCTCATTTCCTTGGGAAACCACATTAAAAATAACAAACTTGGGTTTGTGGTGCTGCTGTAAGGCAAAGTTTTGAAAACATGTCTCAGACATCTTAAATCAAGACAAATATTGATGTCAAAGTACAGGAAAATTTAATTTAATATTTTGGGGGGGGAAAGGAAAAAAATGACAGCATTATATATCCTGTAGCATAGCATTTTTCACACAGAAAAACCCAGCTGCAGTAGAAGTCCTTTTTATAGATAATTAAGTGTTAATGGCAGCACAGTGCAACTTTCTCTTGTGTGACATCTGATTTCTGAAGTGTGCCTTGGGAAACCAGGCAATCCCTGTGACACAGCAACATGCTCAATGGAGCAAAGACAGAGGCCCCTTTCAGCCAGCTCTGATGTTGGCAGCACAGCCAGTACTGGTCATCAAAAGCAGAAATATCAAAGGAGATGCCACTGCCTAAATCTGCCAGGCAAATACTCACATGGAGTGCTCCTGCTATCAGCTCTGCCCCACTTGTGCCAATGTCATTGAACATCAGGTTCAGGTACCGCAGAGTGGAGTTTTCCTTGGGAACAAACAAAGCAGGAATGAGAGGTTTTTTCCCAAAACACTGCTGTATTTTCCAATAAAGGAGATACACATACAAAACTCTACCACTTGCAACATTTCAGGAAGTTCGTGTGTTGGAGAAGTAGTTAAAGAATGCCAAATTATGTCAGGTGATGAGGGCAAGGTATAAAATGTGTCACGGGGAGGGCCCTCATGGAGCCTCAGGAACGACCAATTCCCTGTGCTTAGGCCTATAAAACCAGAGTTTATAAAATAGCTGAAAGAGGCTCTGGCACACTTGACAAAACCATTACCTCCTTTGCTGAATTGAACTGTGAGCCTAAAAGCCTCATAGCTTATTCCATCTTTCTTTTCTCAGGACACTGCAGCCAAATATCCAAAGGCTTTCTACCAGAAATTTTAAATTTCCACAGAGAATACAATCTGAGGCTCTGGTAGGATGGATTGGGATGTGATAGTCAAAGTTATTGGAATTTTGCCAAACCAGCTCATTCTTGTCCCCAGTACACCATATGTAAATATTACTATAGACAAATAAATTACAAGTTGCTGAAAGATGAATATCTCTTGGCACCTGGAGGAATGTTGCCACAGTCTTTGCTCCAGTATCAGTCAATAAATTATAGGCAAGATCCAAACCTGAAAAAGATGAAGAATGAGGAATGTGACAGATGCATATCTACATTGAATTGATTTCTGAACAAAAAGAAACAAAGATGAACTAAGCCTGAAATCAACACTGATCATGTTTTCTGGTATTAACACAGCAATGTCAAACACACAGGGAAAACTCTTACCTGTGACAAAGGCAGCTTGGCCTAAAACAGAGACAAGAACTCCAAGATCATCATCTGTAACTCTTGGCACAGGCACCAGATGATTATTTCCAGCTAATTTTAACGTGAATCCTTTCGTACTTCTGCAGTAACATAAAAACGTAAGCACGTGGGGAGAAGTAAAATGATAGAAATGAATTCTCTCTCCGGATCAGAGGTGTGCCCGTGCCTGCCCTCTCTGGAGCTCTTGCACAGGGTTATCTGCTGCCACTCCTTTGGTAACACCACAGTGTGATCCTGGCAGTACCTCAGCTCTGCCCTTTCTGAAGGCACTGCTCAGCTGCAAGGCCATGCTTGCACTGGAACAACCAGGCTGAGGGGAAGGCAGAGGGAAATAAAGACTGTCTCAGAGGTTACCTCACCATCTTGTTTTTACTTGGTCTCTTCATTTATTTATCCTGCCCTCAGGATCAAAACCTAACATAAACCATTTCATTTTCTCAGTTTTTCCCCCCAAAGGATAATTAACTTTGATCCCAGCACTGTCCATGAGAAGAAGCAATACCCAGACCCTTAATGAGAGAGAATTTGAGTGGTTAATATCTTGGCAGGATTCAGAACAGCTCAGGGAATTTTGACCAGCTGGAAGGTAACGGGATGCAGCTGAGGATTTTTAAACAGGAGTGAGAGACAAAAAAGAGAGTTAGGATGACTGAACACTGGGTTTGGCTTCTTTAGGGGACAGAAAGGCACCATCCTGTACATTTTTCACTTTTTTTGATTTCACTGCTTGTAAAGCTGCCCAGAAAGGATATATAGCTACAACCTTCTGCCAAGATGATGTCAAGATGAGTCAAACCAGAACTTCAGCAGTAAACGTTAAATTTGATTTGTATTTAAGCCTGAAACTGCATGAACTTTCTCATTTTTCAATTCCTCATCCTGCTACCCCATTTAAGCCTTTCAGAAGCATCTGAAGCACTCAGTTTGTTATTTCCTTACATTTCCTCATTTTTATCAGCTTCTTGAAGAACACGAGCAATGAAGGGGTTTTCAGGCTGGCTCAAATTTTGACAGGCCTGCACATAATGCAGGTGAAGATCTGGAAGAACCGACATGACCTGCTGGAAAACAAAACCAAGCGTTACTGCATCGTTTTGGCAGCCTAGCAACAAGGAGGGACCTGCATAACAATACGAGTAGACTCGGTCTGGAAGGGGTTACAACTCGTGGTTTGGAGTAACAGATACAGGAAAAGCATGAGGAAAACGGTGGGTGTGTTTTTGATGTGCTGTAGTTGGTTAATGTTGTAGTTAGGTTATAATACCAAGGCAGGCCATTCACTTCAGAATTGAACTTGATTATTCTTGTGGGTCCCTTCCAGCTCAGCATATTCTGTAACAAACTCAGAGATAAAAGTGTCTGAGCTAACAGAGAAGTGATCCGTGGGGTAGCTGAGCCCTGCAGGCCTTACCTGAGCGATGATCACCTGTCCCCTGTCCCCAGCTCAGCCTGCGGTGAGTTCGGTAACCGGGCTGTCCCGAGCCCGTTCCCAGGGAGGCTGTCCCGAGCCCGTTCCCAGGGAGGGTGTCCCGGGCTGCCAGGAGCCCCCCGGTGTCCCCTGTGCGGGGCTGAGCCCCCGGTGCTGCCCGGACCCTGCGGACAGGGCAGGGCAGGTTCCCCACCGCACCCCAGGGCACGGAGTTGGTCTCCGAGGAGCCTTTGTAAAACTTTCCATGGTTACATGGATCAGCTGCTCCTTCAAAGAGTCCTGTGCTGGCCCTTTCCAGCAAATAAATCCCTGTCTGGTGATTTCACCACTGCCCTCCTATGCAGGAGAGGGGGGTGGGCTCCGTTTTCCCGCAGTGCAGCACTGCCAGGAGCTGCCTGTGCTGGGTCTGTCTCGTCTCTCCTGCACAAACTTCCCCCAGGTTTGAAGAATCTCCCTGACATGAGAGTGCTCAGACTGCCTGAACTGCCTGAAGAAATTCCCACATCAGCTTTGGCCTTCCCTTTCCCGTGTTTATGTGAGGAGCACCACGTTACACACTGCACCTGCATCTTCCAACCGGTTAAACAGTGTCAGGACACTAGATATGAGTGAAAAACACTTTGATGCTATTCCTAAAGGAATGTGCACTATGAAAAATGTATTTGTTCCTTTGTTTTAATTTTTTGTCTTATTGATACCTCCCTTTTGCACGATCCAAGTTCTCCATTACAACCAAGTGTTACTTTTCCTTACCACAGTGAGAAGGGACATTCCACTGGTACACACCTGAGCCTGGACTCCTCATTATTGCTGGCACCCCAGTATTCAGGCACGGAGAAAAAAGCAAGAACATGCAAACACTGACCTTTGTGTTGAATCATAAAGATGGAATCCTGACTGGAGCAACTGCTGTCGTTTTTTGAATCTTTTTTTTTCTGTGTACACTGGAAAATAAGAGCTGCATTTGCACAGAATCAATATGTTACAAAGTGAGCAAAGGGCAATTTAAAAATGGATGTGATATTGTTAATGTCTTTAACTCCACGAACATTTGCTGTTCATTTGATAATGAACAATTATGCACCCTTGGGCTATGGTAAGTGGAAGAGTATTCCTAGACATCCTCATTTTAGGGCTCAGAATACACTTTCCTTTTTATAAAATGCAATGCTTTTTTTTCCAAGTATTTTTTTTTCCACTGGTGAAGTTTTCTTCCTGAAGGTTACATTTACAGAAGTAGTAATTCATGCAAAAGACTCACTCACTTTTAGATTTCATTAATTTAAATTGCTTTCCCCTGCATTGTGCATACAAAGAAAATGAAGAAGCAGACTAATGTTTCTGCTAAGAAATAAAATGAAACCCATAAGAAACCTTTCCAGCACAGGAAACAACATAGATGTCTTTGCCAAAATTTCCACCATACTGTGAGGTATAATGTGACATTAATGAGCAGAATATTCTGTGTTCATCTATCAACAGTAATGCAGCTCCACGGAATTTTCTTAGGAGATTTCTTCCCTAAAAACAAAATCCCAAAGATTGCTATTTAATTGACATAATATATCTTTTTAATGACTGTGTCTAGGTACTTGTGGAGGTGAAGGAACTGAAAATTTTAAATCCCTTTTCCTTTCTGAAAATAAATTCAGTATCTTTTCAAAGGAGATCTTTCTCCTGGAGTCATTAGAAAGATTATAGCTGGGACAAGATAAAGAAATTAAATGTCTGCCAGAAGACATAAGCAAATTGCAGACAAGAGCAATAGAAGGGGCAAGATCTTGTTCTGCTGCAACATGGAAATTCCACGGACTTCAACTGCTCCCAAATGCAGGACTGAAGAGCCTCTTCAGGTACATGGTGCAGCATCAGGCCAGAACTATCAGAACAGGAATAATATCAAAGCTCAGTGTTTAAAACTCATCTTGTCTCTCTGTGTTTAGTAATGATCCCAACAATACAGTTTATAAACCTTACTTAATGCACTTTACCTCCAGAAATGATCAGTACCTTGTTTGGAAGTACAGAGTAGGATTCCAGACAGGCAGAACATAAACTTCTACCAGGACCTGCATTACCATCCAGTCTTACAGAGGTGTAAAAAGCTGCTTGAAAGTATCTCCACACTTTTGCAAAACTGTTCACGGGTGTTTTGACAATCTGCAGTTACAGCACTTTGGATAACTGTAAGCTGTCACTTCCTTAGTGGTACCGCTCATCTCGGAGATGGCCTGGTGACAGTTTGGGATGTGTCTGTGTATGACAGGCTTATTTGAAAGCAGTGGATCTGCAGGATGCAATTTCTGCCATGGTTCTGGTTCTGAGACATCATAACACCTTTGTTATTAAAAATAACTATGACAAACATAATATTGCTATAATTCTTGCATACTAAGTTTATGTGCAACCATGTCTTTTCACAGCACTTGACAGACAGCTGTTTGTCCTAGACACACGATGTTTTTGTCTAGTTTTTATTCTGTTTTTATTCAGCTACCCCTTAAGCCCTTGAGTTTCATTTGCAGTGTACATAGACCATCGAGCTGGACTGGGGCCAGCCACTGTGTAGGTTCCAAATGCAGAGTGGGTGGGACCAGAACCCACTGTTTACTTTAACTGGCTGGTCAGAACTGCAGTCCTGCTCTCCCTCCCCTTACCTCAGGGAAGGTGGTGCATCCTGAGGGAGTTGTTGAGGGCAGGGTCTCTGAGACCAACTCTTCCCACAGTTCCATCTTCAGGTAGTGCTCTCTGAATCTGCATCCAGGGTATGGCACTCATTTCTGTTTGGCTCTTGATTGATACTGAAATCTCATTAATATGCTCATTGGCAGGAGAGAGCTGGGACTGCAGCAAAGTAGGACGGCTCTGTTCTGATTTTCCATTTCACTGAGTAACTGAGGCTGTTTGGATTGTTTGGAAATGTCTAATGAAATTTTTTCACCCTAAGTGAAGGCAAAGAGGAACAGAGAGAAGGATGAATCAGAACCTGCCAAGGAAGAAATCATTGGAAGAGATATTTCTGGGCAGATTGGCAGATTCACAAGACATTTAGTAGATGTGATAAAAGGAACAAAAGCTTTTTCAGTGGCACAATTGGCATGACAGAATAAGAGGGCAAAGGACAGAGCAGGGGGCTCAGGAGCAAAGGAGAGTTTGCCAGCAGTGAGTCTGTCCTATGCTCTTGAGCTGAGAATGAGGAATCCAGCTATGAAATAAAAAGAAACCCCAACAAGAAACTAACACTGAAGTTGAGTTCAGGTAGGAAGATTGCAACAGAAAGTAGACATTAAAGGTAAACTGGAGAGAGAAGTTCAAGTGGGAAAGGATTAATTCAGGGAAATTCTCATAGAACAGACAAAAGATCAATTTCCCAGTTGGATCAAAGGTGGATTTGAGGGGGAAAGTCACATAAAGACAAGTGATAAAGAGAACAGAGGTTCGTGTGATGCTGTTAAACAGACATGATGGTGTTTCCTCATTAGAACAACTGTCCTGGCTTAAGTCACTGCTTGAAAATCTCTTTTGTTAGCCTGAAATGAAGAAGGGGCTCTTTGCTTTATTTCAGAGGTTTAGGATCCCACACAGCAATTCCCTGCTGTCCCTGACCAAGAGCCTCCAGTTCAACTCACATTTCTCAGAGCTGGGGGAGCCAAGTACTTTTCAGTGGAACTGAAAGTAGAACCAGGTAGTCCAGGGTGACTCTTACATGAAATCATGGATTAAATGATCAATAGGTATCAGCACAGCATGGTCAGCTGCTGGTTATAGCCCTGAACAGGCAAAAGCTGATGTTGGAAGGGTCACATGGACTGACAGCTGAATATTGATCAGCATCTGCAAGGGAGAACTCGCTGAGGGGGGCCTTAGCAATTCAGAAAGTGCCACAGAATGATCCTGTTGTGCCTCTCCTCCAGGAGATTGCTGCAGCATGTAGAGATCCTCAGAGCTAATTGAGCAGTACTTTATCCCTCAAGCTGCCTCAGGATTTCTCTAAGACTCCTCACTCAGTGGGCAGATCTAATATCTTTACTTCCTAAAATACCTTACCAATGAATAATCCCACTGCAGTCCTGGAGATCACGTGTGGGTTAACATGCTCCATGACACAAGGGACTGTGCCAGAATTTGGCACTTATTGATTGCTCTGTATCCAAAATGCTTGTTAAAGTAGCAGGACATATCTCTGATTTAATGTACCATAGCTTTTTCCTTGCCCCTAAGACTTGCAAAGACACCAATTAAGTGTTTCTTACCTTGATTTTATGCTGATTCTCTACACAGGACTCATCTACACTGTGAGATGGCATCAAGGGCCAGAGCAGAGGCAGACCAGCTCCTTCTGTATTCTCCTTCCTGGACTAATCTATAATGTTGAGTTGTTGGGATGGATACCAAATCTCAGTTATGATTTAATTAATTCACAAAGAGACAAAAGTTTGGAGGGAGAAGAAACTAAAATTTAAAACATGGAGGTTTCAAGTATTTTCACATTAGAGGTATTTTCTGAGGCCACATTCACACTGCCCACCCACCTGCATTAACACAACCCCAGCCCTTCCCTCCATGGCCAAACCCTCTGACCCCAGCACTGCTCTGTGGGCAGTGGCCTTGGCACTGTATTCACAGTATTCACAACATGAAGATTAAGTAGTGTAAGTATGGCCCAGAGAATCTGAAAGAATGTTATTAAATTGGTGCAGAATGTCAAATAACGGTTTTCTATAATTGTGAAACTACTTCAGGGATTATTAAAAACTTCAGTCTTCTAAGGCAGAGACACATAATGCTAGGTTCATGTCCTGCTCCCAAAAGGCCTTCCCAACACCTCCAACCTTCATCAACAGTCAAAACGAATGTTTCTTTTGTTGTCTTGATTAAAGTCTTCAATTTGCTTCCTCTGGGACTCTGAAAGGGCCCATCTTTGCATGCCCAGCTCTGCCAAGGCTGGCAGCTGTGTCAGTGCTGCCAACAACTCCCTGAACCATGGCCCACAGTCCCGGCAGGACGATGGCCGGAGGCTCACGTCCAGCTCTGAGAGTTCCTTGAATGCTCTTAAACCTTGGCAGAAAACAGCCCAGCCATCATCAGAGATGTTGTTATTATAACTCAAATCCAGCTTCTGCAACCTGGCTAAATGGCCATCTTGCCTCAGGGATGCTGCAAGAGATAACAGACACAAACACAACTAATAAATCCTGATAACTGCTTTAAAAGTTTCTCAGAGAGAGAATGGTATTTTAATACTTCATTTCAGCAGTCAAACAGCAAGATTTAACTCCTCCTTTTAATAAAACCACTTGGTGCTGACCTCAGAAAGACAGTTTTATAACAGCTGAAGGAGTTTAAAACACTTAAAGCACAGGCAGTTCAAAAGGAACAAAGTATTGACTTTAAAGGTTAAAAGTGTGTGGCAACCTTGCAGTCAGTTGGAAGGAGGTTACATCCAGTGCCAATTGTAAGAGGCAAACAGGCTTTACAGGGAGATTTAGAAAGAGGAAAGCAAAACTAGTTGAGGCTGCATGATTGACTACAACAGCCACCTCTCACTGTGGGAGGGCCAAATATTCCCTGAAGGGGTCCTTAACATATGATTGGCAAAGGAGACACCCATCAAGAGTGATGGTCTTTAAAGTGAAAAGTATTCATACTTCACCTCACCAGATTTCACATTCCAGGGCCTTACAGTTGTCACAAAGCTATTGCCAATGTCAGATACTCAAACCTCTGAGTCAGGCCCACAGAACCACAAGGATGAATATAAAATTTGCAAGTTTTTAAAAGGATCCTAGAATTTATTCCTTTATCAGGTTCCCATTTTCCAGTATTTCTTAGCAGCTGCTAAGAGATGGGTGAAAACATTTCTGGTTTAATTCTCCCCCAGTAGTCTGACTCCAGAAACCCACCTAATGGATTGGGAGCTGCTAGTGCCTGTATTCCTGGCTGTCAGCACAGACATTTTCTCTAAAGTACTGAGCTGTAAAACAGCATCTGAGCAAAATAAAACTCCTTAGAGGCAGCTTTAAATATTTGATATAAAAAACAGATGCAAACCCTACATTTTCTAAATTTTTAAATTATTAATACATAAAAGTGTGTAAAGATTCTTTGCATTTTAGCCTCTTCAGCTTTTCCACTGGGCATGTCCAGTACACACAGAAAAATGAAAGCCCTTTGTCGGAAAAGTTTTCCATGTTTTCATTTGATATATGCAAAAACATGCTCAGCCCATGGAACAAGCCCCTTCTGAATTGTGGTCTGAATGCCCTGGTTCCTTGAGTGCTAATAAATACCATGTTATACTTACTTAAAAGTGCCAAATCTTCAGCCACCAGGTTACAGCTGCTCAGTCTAAACACTTGAATCTCCGTTGCAAGCTTTAGTGCTCCCAAAAGCAGCTTTAGGTTCCCACCAACGCACTTATTCCAAGAAAGGTCTAATATCTCCAGTTCAGGAAGGTGAAGGGCAGCCTCAGCTGAAAAGATTAAGATCAGCAACTTCTGCTTACTAAGAGAAAACAACATGGCCTCAACAGACACCTCACCTGCAATTCACCCGTAAGTAGGGTCCTAACAGCCTGATTGCTTGTGCTTAGAATTAATTCTTTTATCCCAATAAAAGAAGGCTCTGCCTATAGAATCTATCAGGACTCTATGGAGAGGAGTTTTTGTCTTTCTGTTTACGGTATTGCCTTGGCCTTGTCACACTGAACTAATTTAATTTAACAGCTTGCTTTTAAACCATTTTATGTCAATTTAAAGACAGCAATTTTTTTTGCTGTGAACCCACTATTTAAGGTGAGATGCTCTGTATCTTTTGGCAGCTCTGATTTCCACTCTTACATAACTGTAGTGATATAAACATAATACTCTTTCTGCAAGGACCTCTGACCAGGTTATTTTGCTACTCCTTCTGCTGGAGGCAGTCAAGTCTTACTCCAGGTTTAATGTCATGAATAAACAGTATGAAATACAAGTGCACAAAACACAGTAACTGAGAGATCCCTCTGTACTAAGATTTCATGTGCCATATGGAACACCTATCAAAGGCCACTAATCCACAGAGATTTGCAATAAGTAGGCAAGAGGCTGAATTTACATATCCTGGGTTAGATTGGACTTTTCTTCACTGTGCAGTATCTTTTCTATCACTGCAGTCATTTCCTCCATTGCTCCATGCTGAGCTCTACCCCAAAAAGTTTCTACTGAAATTTTCATCTGCAGTGAGGTGAAAAACCCTTAGTCAAAACTTTACCCACTGAGTGAAGTGTAACATCCAGACTATGATTACAGCATAACATAAAATTATGTTTTTCTTTTTTACCCTAAATTAAGGAGTATGTAAAAGCTCACTATCAGACATAAGACTAAGAGAACTTCATCCTCTCAGGTATAGTAGAGGAAGTCATATAATTCTCTTCCCGTGCAGCCTGGCCCCACAAAGCACTGGTTTCATCACAGGCTTTTTCACTCTGGACCTGAGGTATAATGTAACCGTGATCCTTGGAGTTCAGCCAAAGAAGGGAATGCTTTGTCCTGCAGGGATACACAGAGAATGGGCACATTTTAAAGAAAAATTCCTACCTAGTGATGAAAGGGACTCTTCACCTAAGCCACAGTTGCTGATGGTCACAGATCTCAGCTTCGGTAAAAACCTGAGCCTGCCCAGAAGAGGATCTGATGAGAGTCCTACATTTTTATTCGAGGATAAATTCAGCTCTTGAAGACTGGAAAGTAAAGGTATCACCTGGGCTACAAAAACATGAAATATTTATTAGACAGTCACTGATCCATAACAAATGTGTAGTTGTATATTTGCCTGACATAATTTCTTGTCTTTATAAATCAATCCAAAAGTCAAGGCCAAGTTTTTACACACAAGTTCATGGTGAGTCATGTTTTAGGCCATAAATAGCCCTGTCATTTTCAGTAAAACTGTTTCAGAAGTTAAGTATTCCATACTATGTGGAAGATTGTGAGAACATGGCTTCCTGGAAATTTTCTCAGTGAAACAGGGAATTTCCAAATGTCTTCTTTGCTAACTGAAACGTCTTTGTCTTAATGTTCTATTATAAAATAAATTAAAAATAAATCATGATTGATATTGATAATACTGAGTATTTCTTAAAGCTTCAGTCATGTTCTTTGCCATGGAAAATAGCATGTGGGCAATATGGGCTTTGAGTCATGGGATTTTTTGTTGTCGTTAAGAGTAAAAACAAAGTTATGATAACAAAGAGAGAAAAATAAGCTGTCTCACAAATTGATTGGTAAATGCCTTTTTCTTCATAGTAGTGCTTATAGCTGCATCAATTCAAAGTGGAGAAAGCACACAGCAGCAGCAATGCAAGGTCTCCTAAAATCACCCTTTACTTGGTGTGCAGCTCACCAAGGCAGTTTTAGGCAGTTATATTTCCATGCACATACCCACCATGGATCCATCCAACTTAATACCACTGGGGGAACTGTCCCTGGATATTTCCTAAATTATTGATTATCCAAAAAAAGCAGTGCTTGATGACAGTTCCCACATTCCCATTGTGGGTCTGAATCACAGAAATTCAGGTCCTTAGTTCCACATGAGATTAGACACTCTGAGATTTCCTTTGGTTAAGCAAAAAAAACCATTCCATATTGATCAAGAAATCTCTCCCCCACACTACATTTTCAGAGCTGCCTAATGAAAAAAGTACTGAAATCAGCTCTTCTGCCAGGCAGAACCTTTTATGTCTTTGAGATATTTTCAGAAGGCAAAACTGAGATCCTTAATTAATTTCCTCGATGTGTCCTTACACAAAACAGTCATGTCCTCTTCTGTGACACAGCACTGGTGAAGATCAAGGACTTCCAGATTTTTCAAGCTGGCCAAATGAGCTGTTGAGGCTTTAAAGCCACCACCAATCTCTCTGTTACACGAGATGTCTAATTTCCTTAGCTCTGCAAGGTGCTGTAAAGCAGTGTCTGAAATGGAAAAGGGAACAGGCTGGTCACTGGCTGCCACAACAGCCCAGGTCAGGGCTTTGGCATCTATTTACTTCAACGTCAAAGTTTGCACAAGGTAGTGCAGGCAAAGCTCCTGGCTAAGCTTCAGTGTATAATCACAGCAGACACACAGTAATGCAGCAAAGCCTCCCTGTCCATGCAGCTCCATTCTTCTCTGGGAGAGCAGGTGAAGGTGAGGCCAGCTCATCCCCCACATCCAGTCAATCCTCAGCCTTTTGCAGGAATTACTGCTGGATGTGCTCATTAATGCCACTTGTTTTGCCACCTCCACTAGGGAGAGACACAGATAACAAGGCCATTTCGTGTGGCTTCACTGGACACTCTTTCACTGATAATGGTGAATTTGGGTTTCCTTTGGAAAAAAGGATTACCTTGTTAGAAGTTAGCTGGTCTGTCTGTGTCCTTGTCTAGGTTCTGTCTGGGGAAAGAGGAAGCATGTCCAGGGAGCCACAGCCCTGAGAGGTGTCTCAGATAAATGGTGTGGAGGGTGACTCTCCCCACTGACTTTCACAAGCTTGAGCTCAGGGCAGATAAATTCAGCTCCTGCTGAAAGGCCCTGTAGTCTTTTACCAATCCTCAAACAGCAAATAATGATTGCCCATTAATACTGCCAAACCATCAGCAAAATCCCACCTCATTGCCTTTCCTAAATGGTTTTCAGATGTACAATTTATTCAGAATGAAAGTTTTCTGAACATAAAGTCTAACCTAAGCCCTGGAGGCTGTCTTGCTTTAATCCACACATGTGCAAGTTTAACTCTTTCAAGCCTGGCACATTTTTCAGATCCTGAGCAATAACCTTCATGCTGCAGCCAATGTTTTTGTTGATAGAGAGATCTAATACTTCGAGGTTTGGGATCACATTTAGAAGTTCAGCTGGGAAAAAAAAAAAGAAAAGAAAACTAGAATTGGTAATTGACTAGAATACATAAAGATGAACCCTAGAAAAATACAGCACCATAATAAACAGGAAGACGTGGCCAGGGTTTGCCTGTCAGTGTGGTTTAGACTTGCTAAGTTCCTGTTCTACCTAAACAACACAGTAAAATAAATAATGGATAGGAATCAAGAAAATCTGTGAAAACATTTATAAAAATTAAAAAATACAAGGACTCTTAGAGAAAAAGACAGAGGAATAAAAGGCAGAAATACAAAGGGAAAGAAAATTTTCTAAAGAAAATACATAGGGATGTCTGTTACATATGGATCTCCTCCTGCAGTGGAGATGAGAGCCATGGGGCTTCTCTTTTCTGAGCAAACACCTTTCAAAACAAACAATGAGATAAAAAGACCACACAGGATTAAGCTGCTATGATCAGAGGACAGTAGGGAAAGTTGGTCAGTGGTTGCCAACTCAGCCTAAATTCCCAATCCTCAGACCTTCTTTACAATCCCATAGCTAATTACATATTCAGCTGCTTAATTTTAAGCAATTAGTGTTGGAAATTCTGGCACACATTTTTTGCTGAAGGTCTCAAAGGATCCAGAAACCCTGGACCACTGAGGCAGCCAGACTGTGGTTTAGGTCTTCTCAACTCTCCCTCATGTGATTAGAGAGAAAAACTTTCTTCTTTGGAAGAAAGTGCATTAAATCCCCACATCATAAATACTGTTATAATGCAGAGCTTGAAATAACTTCTCACTGATACTGAGCTCAATACAGCCATTATCTAATCCTGATAAGTTCATTTTTGTGCAGCATTCTCAGTCCAGCTCAATGGACACACATACCAAGGGATTCTCCATCCTTTGCTGTCAGGTTACAGTCCGTAATTTTCAGGCATTTTAATTTGCATCCTTCCTGAAGTTTTTTTGTCAGCAGTGATAGTTTTCCACCTATGTTGCTGTTCCACGATAAATCCAGTTCTTCAAGTTGAGAAACAATTTCAAATGCTTCTCCTGCAACAAAAGTCTAGAATGATTCATTCCATGTATCAATTTCAGTGCAAACAAAAACACAGGTTTAGAATATATTAAAGAGGAAGGTTAGCTACTTAATACTCAGATTACTTTATGATTAATGTCTTCCCAGGAAAATTGCAAAATAAATGAATTATTGTTTCTGCAGCAATGTTGTATAATATCTTACATTGTCTAAGGAACAACATAGATCACAACTCATTGTCACAGTGCACACAAACCTGAAATTTATTCAGGTTCCCAAACTCTCATCAGGCTGTTTGGCCCATGCTGGGACCAGGAAGTCCAGTCTAGAGGGAAATCAATACAAGTGACAAGTCTGAATTTACTGTCCTGTAGAGTTCTGCTCTGTTTTATTTGGCAAATTTCCATCATCCTCTGTGCTATGTCCACAGGTCATTTTGGAGGGAATGAAAGAATTCTTCTCACAACTATTTCTGAAATATGAAAGTTTCATTTCTGACAGGAATTTCTGACTCACTTCATAAGAAACCAAGATGAGCATTGTTTTGACTCTAACTAACTTTCCTATGATTTCAAGGCAGACAGAACTGACTTTTACTATATTCAGAAAAATCAGCCTTTTTGAGACTTGACACACCTGGTGATGTGAACTGTGTTAGTGCTTATTTGAAATACTAACATCCACTGTAAAATCCAGCTTCCTAACTTCCTTTGAAGAGGGGGGAGGCAGAGCATATTTACATAAACTCATTTCCAAGAAAGATCAATTAATCAGACCATATGCAAAAGCAATTTCAAAGTGTCATACACAATTTTTTGATTTAAAGTCTAATAATTGAGAATTCTATTTTAATAGTAACATCTTTCCATGTCTATGTGGTTTTTTCATAATTAATTTTTCACAAAAGATCTATAATAGAAAAATAATTATTTCCTTAAGGGAATATCCGGGATTGAGAGGAAAGAACATGTCTTAACTTTTATTTTTGCATTTATTTTAAATTATTGCCTCAGTGTTGAATATTGAGCAATGCTCTACAGTTGAGAAGTGCAGCATAGCCTGTTTCTGTTTGACATGTGAACTATAGATTTCCAGACACGTTTTCCTCCCAGAAGATAAATAAACGAATATAACTCCAGGAATGGTTTTTTTTATCACATCTCACAGTCAAGCTCTGAGCAACCACATAGAATAGGTTGATATTATGGTTATATTTCAGACATTGATTTCTAAGCAGGATGTGCTGAGTCCACAAGAGGCCACATTTCTGCAGAGAGATGTGGACAAGGTCACACAGCTAGGATTGGCCTAAATACACAAGCTGCTTTCAAAATCACAGGCAAAATCAATGCAAACTGACTGTTGCCATTCCACGTGTCAAAGGCATCACATTTTGACTGGAAATTCAAGTTCTCAGATCAATTTTGTGTCTATCCCAGCAGAAACTAAACCAGACTGGGAAGGAAGCAGCGCTGAAGGACCTGGAAGAATAAATCAATTGGAAAAATAACAATAAAACTCAGAAAAAAACTCCAAATCTATGAGAAGAGTTGGAAAAAGAATTTTGAATTTGAAAAAATACTAGAAAATTATATACAGATTTCACACTCATCAGAAACAGAGCAGTTATTTTCACCAGCTTTTGTAGAGATGCTTATTTCCTCCCCAAGAGATTGCATGACTCGCTTTTGATCTACCATCATATATGTCATTTTATTTCTGAACCTTTCCTGGAAAAGGCTTGCATATGAATGGCATAAACAAACCCCAGCTTTATAACTCAGACTCATTTTAGAACTTACAAAATAAGTAACTTTTATAATTCTTAATTGATGATGATTGCCTTTCTTTTAAATACAAACCATAGATCCACTCCAGAGTAAACTCCAGGCCCAGAGGTGAGTCTGTGCCAGAACCTGAACGGGCAACAGCACCTTAAAAACCTTTACATGTCATACTTTGCAGAATACAGGCACTCCAAGCAAAGAAGCAAGGAAAGGAATAAGGTTCTCTTAGACTTGAAAAAACGCCAAGTCACAAAGCTCTGAGGCAGCACTGCTGGTTTTAAGTCTTCTCCCCAAAGACCATTGGGGTTTTCATGATGAGCCCTCACCTGTCCTGCAGCTCCAAGACCTAAGCTGACCCAATTGTGATTGACACTGCTACTAGGCAAAAAAATAGTAATCCAAATTAAAAATATTCTTTCCTGAAAATATGACTGGATTCTCTTCCCTTCTGAGTGTGAAAGCTTCACACCCAGAGGAATTAACTCTGCAGAGCTACCTAAAGGTGTAAAGCCACCCAAAAAACCAAGTTTCTACTGTTTCACAGCAGGAGTTTACTTTGCCCAGTGTGGAAGCAGCAGGAGTAGGATGTAGGAAGAGATGAAATGGATTACATTAGCCCCAAGCTGTCTGGAAGTAAATGTAAATGAAATCCTGTACCTAAGGAGATGACATCCTCAGCTGTCAGCCTGCAGTTGTTAAGTCGAAGGACTTTTAACAGGTTCACATGATGAAGATGGACAGTGAGAATTTTCAAAGTCCCTCCAACACAACCATTCCAGGACAGGCTGATCTCTTCCAACTCTGGGAGAAACGGCAGTAAAGAAGCTGTAAGGAAAGAAAAGAAAAAACTTTTAGTTTTGCATGTTTCTGCACACTATGGATATCAATACCTCTTAATATTGAGATGTTTTCTACAACCAATACAGAATTATAAAGCCATGACAATTTCTACCTCACTTTTTTTATCTGTATCTTGAGTTTAAGGATATTCATCTGCTTCACAGACCTGGATGATTTCTATATTGATACATATTACATAATTTATATAATTTATTAATTGATATTTCTCAGGGATGTGGGACCATTAGATAAAATGTTAATATGGCCTGCATAAAAGAAAGGGAAGGGAAAAGAGGAGAGAGAATAATAGAACAGGTAAATAAAAATTAAATAAATACATGAAGTGATTAGTTGAATAAAATGTGCATTTACCCAATTCTGTTATATCTGCTGCACTTAGTGCACAATTATTTAGATCCAGATTCTTGCTGTTGGGTTTCTTTCCCAGTTTCTCCATGAACTGGTTAAATCTCTGCTCACCAGATGGTGTCTCTGCTTCAGAAGTGAGATGTGAAAGTCCATCTGAGCAACAAAGAAATAGGGCCCTGGTTACGTCTGCTAATAAACACAAGGTGTAAAACCTCCCTGAGGCTGCCAGGTGAAGACTTTAGGAAATGAATTAAATCTGTCAATAAAGCAAGCTCTATTTTTCATCAATGTGGACCAACAACTTGACTGATAAGATTGCTATAGATCAAATCAGTACAAAGCTCCTGCTGCATTTTCATACATCTGTATAAGGTAGTTCCTGCTTTTCTGGGCTTTGCAAAGCAAATAATTGCAGAAAATAGCAATCGACTCTCAGTAGCTGCCCTCTTATCATTTTCTCAAACTGACCCAGAATTCTTAGGACAAAGGATGGGGTTCTAAGCTTCACCTTCCATCTCCTTTTAAAAAATAGTTCAATTTTCTCTGGAGTGGATGTAAAGAGTATTCTTGTGTGTGCAAAATAACATCCATGAGGGATTCTCATTCCCTTCCCCTCCCCCTGCCCAGTGCCAAGTGATAGGAAACATCTGCTCCTGCTGTGTTCAGACTGCTTTAGCAGGACAGCAGGACACAGACCCATCTTAAACACAACAAGACAAGTTACTGCTCAAAGCTTGGCTCTGAAACCAAATAAGCTCAGGAACTAATGAGCTGACTTCAGCACTGACTCTTACATTGCAGACCAACAGAGTAGTCACCCAAAAGCTTTACCTTTCCTCAGCAAGATGGATCTAACTCCTTGCTTAGCACCTATCAAATCACAGGGTACATCCTTGATAATGTTCCAATCAGAAGTAAATCCTGGCAAGAGGATAATCCTGGCAAGAGGTAGCAAATATAGGATTTTGGCTAGCAAGGAAACAGCTGATTTTCTATGAAATTAAAATATATACACATACACATGTGTTTCATTGTTGTACCAGCATTACCTTCTGCAGAGAGATTTTGCTTTTCACTCTGATCATCAGCTCCAGCATTGTTTACTTCTGTTTCTTCAATTTCCCTTCTGTCTTTGCCTTCAGAGTTCCCAAAGTCAAAGCCTTTGAAGAATTGTTTGAGGGCTGAAGGCTGCTCTTTCCTTTCTTCAGGAACACACTTCTTTCCTTGGAACTGTTTTATAACAAAGTCAAATGGGGAGCTCTTTGGGTTGTCCTCTTCATGTCTATCCTGGCAGTTCTGGTCATCTTTTAGGGGATCAGCAGACAGAATTAGATTTAGTAATGTTTACTCTTGCTTAACTTTTTTCATGATGGCAGATGCACTGAGAATTTGCCACTGTTGCCTCCACCCAACCGTATATCATAGCCACCATACAAGTGTTCAAGAGCAGAGCACTTACAATCACAAAAAGCTAAGGCACTGTTTAAAATCTGGCATTAATGTGTTGTCGTAGCTATATTCCTTAGAAATACAAAAATTATACAAACCAATGTTTCTCGATGTACATGCACAGCTACTGAGCTGCAGAGCAATCCTGCTTTCCCTGGCTGTGATTTCCTGCTGTAGAGGCATTATTTTAAACAAAGAACATACCTGTCTTTTCCATGGGTGCACCTCTGGATCCCTTTCACACTCGTCTGTTTTTACAGCACTTTCAGGGTTTGTGGCATAAGTGAGCAGTGACATGCAAACAAAACCTCACTCCTTTCCTTTATAGGAACTTTCCGTGCAGTTTTCTTTCACAAGTTTCTGTCTTCATCAGTTTGACAGCAGCAGCTCTGCACAAGATGTGGGCTCTTTCCTGATGCCTCTATTCCTCTGTACTCTATCCCAAAGTCTGCCGTTCCTGGGGCTGAGATCATGTCCCAGCTTAGATCCGATCTCAAGGCAGAAATCAGGAAGTGGCAGCAAAATCTTCGCTACTGCTCCCAAACCACTGCATGTCCCTGAGACAGCTGCTGTTAGAAGAGGCTGAGTCACCGCAGAGATCAGATTACAAGAGTACCTGAAGAAAAGCTCTTTGTTTTCCCACCCCTTTTGTCCATACTGGCCAGCAATAGTGCTGGAGGCTGAGCAGAGCCCTGCTGTCAGCTGGATGTTGCACAGCTCTTAAGAAAAAGGGAGGACGGACATTCCTGATCATTTTAACAGGAGACACAAGAGGAGAAGTCACAATCATCTTCTGGGCAACACCATGATACAACATTACAATACAATCAATCATTGGACACATCTTATATATACCTCAAACTCCAGTACACCTTTCTTTTGTCTGTCTGTCCTAAAGTCAGATTTCCTCAATGGTGAACATCACAATTTCTGTCTTAACCATACTCATGGCCATTTATGCTGAATCTCTTTAGCCTTGGTAATCTTTTTCAGTCTATGAGATCTTCCCTGTCGCAGGCTAAACCAGCCAAACCCTTCTTCCCTCATGTGGCAAACTCTCCATTTCCCTTATCATTTCCTGCTCAGCTTTGTCTGCACCTGGTGCAATATAATTTATACTTCCTTAAGTACAAGGAACCATCCATGGGTCTGTCACACTAAGGACATATGCAAACTGGAGTGATGTTGGTGGGGAATGATAAAGTTGGTAAACAAAACGTACAATTCCTTTGCAAGCAGCTGAGCAGACACCAGCCTGAGGACAGGTTTGAAACTAGGCAAAGGATTCAGACAGGGTGGAACGAGGCACAGGGTGCTGCAAGGAGTCAACAGGGTAAGATGAGAAGAAAAACTTAAAGTGAACGTCATAAAAATCCTCTTGCCCATGAGAGATACCATGCTGGGAAACATGTACAGCAGTTAGAAATACACAAAACCATCGTGATCAATCATCTTTCTCTGTAGGAAAGGAGGGCACACTTCTATTCCCAAACAGAAAAGATGTCCAAGGTTGCTTTAGAGTTTTCTGACACCAGGAGTGGCTGTCATGTCTCAGTTTCTGAAATCAGCATCTTGCTACAGACCTATATCTGTATCAGGAATTTGTGCTAATTCATGTGTCCAGGCATCTCAGCTATGCAGATGATGGAAAATCCCAGCATTTCTGTTGGTAAATAACTGAATTTGACAGTTATTTGCTTGTGCTTAACAACAGAGTGACTGGGAACGAAGCAGACACCAAGCAACTCGTGTTTGTGAACACGTCCCAGGCTCTCCTGGCCCAAGACTTCTCAATGCCCACGGCAGTTCAATGAGAACATGGAATGGAAATAATTGATAATCTCTGTCCTGTGAAAATGGGGAAATCCTTAAGCATGTCAAGCACCAATTACAGTGGTTAGGCTGGGCTAACTCACATGAATCTGACATCAGTATTTCAGTTGATGTGCTGCCAATTCAGTTGTTCTTTCACCACTTGAGGCTGTTGAATGACAGTGACAATACCCCAAGGCACTATGACAGTGTCTCTGTAATCCAGTGAGAAGGGAAACACAGTGACCTGGTCTTCTCTTCCTAAAAAGCAAATCTTTACCTTTTCTAACATCAGCCATGAGGGAAGAGGTAACAACAGGATTATCCCCCAAAAAGCAGGATGACAAGAGCAAGGTGGCTGCACTAGGCTGTAAACATGAGCAGCACTTTGCAATAGGCCCAGGCTGTGCTGTGAACATGTGATATATCACAACAGCCAGGCCCAGCTATGCCCTGTTAGCTGCTCTGTCCTTCTCCTCCCTGCCACACTTCTGAACAGGTGTCCTGCTCCTGCCTGTCAGAGCCCTGTGTCTGCTTCCTGCAGCATGTCATGGACAGCACAGGGCAGGCTTAGCTTTTGGAGTTTAAAAATAATAGACGCCTTCCCCTTTCTATCCAGTTAAATGGCCTGTGACCATCTGCCAAGTGCTCAGTGTCACACTTGTTTATATCTACTCTTCCCTCTGTCTAGACCTGGGGCAAGGTTAGGAACAGAACCAATTTTGGAACAAAATAGTTTAAGTTGCATCCCACACAGCATCCATCGGGGAGAGATTAATGTGGATTTTTGTACTTTGCCTCATTGTGACTCCTTAATCCGGCATATATTCCAAAGAAATAATGCCATTAGAGGATTAGTGCCACAAGTTCATTTGAAAAAAAGGATTTGCAAACACTGAAATCCTATATTCTATGTGCTTAATCACTGAGTATCATTTTGGGGATTTCCTCTCCCTTTAGTAGTGTCTCTTTCAATGAAACCCAAGCAAATCAGCAACTCTGTTTTGGATGGCCCTTATTATCCACTAAAGGAAAACAAACCCTCAAGCATCTGGTTAAAATAATACAGAGTCTAAACGCACTGGACTAAACCATCCTTGCTGTCATACGATCACAGCTACATCAGGGAGGCAATCTGCCCAATATTTATATAGAATGTAATGATTTGGGATATTTATCTGTTAGAGATTTTTGATAATCTGAGTCCTGCAGCACTTAATAACATTGTGACCCTTGTTTGCTCCCACAGCAGTTCCCTTCCCCAGCTTTGCCTCTGCAGGATTCTCTTGCTTGGCTGGATTTGTTTGGGGCAGTTGCACGAAGCAAGAAATTGGTGGGGCTGGAAAAATGTTCATTGCCCCATGGTTGACTGTGGCAGTTCCAGGTGTCACTCTTGGGCCCAGAACACACGTGCCAGGAGCTGCTGCCATGGGAAGAGTGGCCTGGTCCAGCACCAGGTTTGCTGCCCTCATCTTTCCCAGCCACATGCATCAAACCATGCTCTCCACAGTTTTCTCCATCCTCTCTCTCCTTCTCTGTCCCTTCCATTCATCCTTGGACTTTGACCACTCATAACTGAGGCAGGGGAATTCAGCCTTGCCCACAGCTGGGAATCCCTCAGCTGGCACTGATGCTGTGTTGCTTGTGTCAAACATCTGCGTCACCCACGAAATTGATGTTGACTTTCTTCATAGCCAGGTGATCCACAGAGCCACAGGGATTTGCTTTAGGACCAGACAAAATCCTTCAGAAGAGACTGCACACACAATGGGCTGGAAGGACCATTCCCCAGGGAATGCCTGCCTGATCTGCACAATTGGCAGGACAAGGCCAGGTTCAAGGCCAGGTTGGATGGGGCTTGGAGCAGCCTGGGAGAGTGGAAGGTGTTCCTGCCCATGGCAAAGGGCTGGAACTGGCTGACTTTAAAGTCCTTTTGAACCCAAACCATTCTGGGATTCTGTGACAGTCCTGCATGAACTGGTTGTGTGCAGAGCTGTGTGACAGCCCCTGTTGTCACTGATTTATAATAGCTGTAAGAATTCCAGACTTTGCATATTCCAGCATGAGCAGCTAAACACAAACAGTAGAACTCTAAACCATATTCTTTTTTTCTAAACCAGAATTTACATTACCTCCTATTAAATAGTAGTGATAATAAGTAGATTTTTCCAACTACTAAGTAATATTGAACATGCATTTTGAATTCCACAAAAATAAAGACTTCTAGATCTATTGCAGCATATATACATTCATACACACAGTGCAGACCCTTCTAACACTCAAGATATCAAGTTACTCCTTTTAAAATGGAGCTACACAAATGCAAACTTAACTTTCAGTCTCTATTACAATAAACTAGACTGATAGAGAAGATTTTCAGTCTGGAAAATTCTTTTTGGTTGAACTTCTGCCAGGATTAATCCCCTTTCAGTTAATCATTTACATGAATGGGCAATCTGCAGAGTTCATGCAAGGCCTGCAGCAAACTATATTAATTACTAGAAACCTAATTCCAAATCAACAGAGTCATAGGATCAGTGTTACCTCCATACGGTACCATCTGGTACAATGGAGCTGGATATTCCAGTAGAACTCCCCATTGCATTCTGTGGAACCTCAGTCTGAGTGTATGTTGCTTAAGTGTGTGTAACAAGTTTATGCAGCTATAGGAACTGGTTATAAAGCATTTTTAGGGTCATCCTTAATGACAGCATCCAATCCCTGTATTCTAGCTGCTGCTTCAAAAGTTAATTCAAAACAGAGTATTTATTCAACACATTTCTTTTTGAATGTGATACCAGTGATCTCATAGCTTGCCTTTCCCCATTCAAAAATTCCCTAAATCCATACAAAAGGTAATGAAAAAATCATTAAACAAGCAAATGTGTAAATGTCTACCATAAAATGCTTTCATTAAAAGTATTATGTGTACAGTGATTTGCTTCACTACTTATTACTCCAGTTTAAAAGCTATGTCCAGAAATTCCATAAATGACAGGAACATGGCACAGTGCAGCTTCCATTTATATTTAATTTTACCAATACATTTGCTCTTTCAGCAAATGGCCAGTTTGAAAGTTCTGACCAAAACCTATCAGTCTCATTTTGCACCATGTTAGCCAAACAAAAATTCAGGTGTTTGAAACATCAGCTTGTATGTTTTTATATTCAGACCTTCTAAACCATTTGAATCCAAGGTCACATAAAACCCAGTATTTTTTCCACAAACAGCGTTTGGTCAATTGACTTTCCAAAGGAATTTTCAAGGGTTAGCCATATTTCATCCCTGAGGTTCAATCGTTGGCTTTTGGAATTGAGATCAGGCACACTAAGCAAAATTGAGTAGCTTCAGTTTTGCCCAAAGTTTGGCTCCAGTTCTCCCTGATTAATTCCCGGACTTCCCTTGGGAATGTGTGTAATCCACCAAGTGTCTCCAAATTCTCTCAAGAACAGTAGTAAATATAATGACTTTCCACTAAACAACCAATCATGTTGCAACTTGTTCCCTTTGCAGTATCTGCTGACCTTGTCAGTGTGAATTTAGTACAGGAGAACACCAAAAGTGTTCTTTTCCGTGTCCTGCAACTCAGGAAGGAGCAAAATCATCTACCCTGACACCAAGAGTTTGGGGAAAAAATTAACTCCCAAGG